TGCTTGTTGATGACTGTGTTGTCTGGTAGTGCCAATCTAACCTCGATAACATTAATACTTGAAGCTCTTAACTTGAAGTCTTTCAATCAAGTTGCTGGTTTTTTCACTCTGTTGTGCGTCAGAACATCCCTATGCAACCGTTTTACCTGTTGGTTATGTACAGTTGAATCACTTGTCTCCAACTCAAAACAGTGCTAACAGGATCCAACTCACGAAGAAGTTGTCTAACCGCCATCACTGAACATGCAAACCTTGAGCTCGAAGAGCACCTTGCATTCGTGACTGTTTTATCCCAGGAGTTAGGCTTTGAATTTCTCCCATAAGAGAACGCAAATCTTCATACGATATAGTGGACAAGTTCATCGCCTCCGCCAGTCCCAATTCCTGCCTTCTTCTCAGCAGTATTTTGTTTGATACTCCCAGAATGATGGCAATCTTTGTGGCAAGCTTTCGTAGATAAACAATTTGATGTTTGGACAACACGTTTTGGCTTTGCCCTTATAACCTTATTGAATTTTTACTTCTAACGTTACGTACACCTTGTACTCAGACTTGACTCGCCTCTTCTACAACAACTGCTTTGAAGAAATTTTTTAATGTTTTGATGTCACGAAATAACCCTGTCATATCATTAGCAAATGTAGTTCTATACCTACAAGAAATGAGCATTGTATAAATTATTATAATGAATTGTTGAATGTCTGTAGGAGGTATCACTTACAAGGCAAATGATTACACTACAGTTAAAGCTGTCTTGCTGTGAGAAATGTAACAGTTTAATACATGGCCGAAAATGAGAAAGGCAACTAAATTCAGTAGAAGTACTTTAAATAACGCTTTTTCACCAAACTTGAAAATCAGGATATCTATCTGCTATGCACACTATAAAAAACTTCACACTTACTTCTCTATTATAGTTGACCGATTATATTCACATGTCTTAAAATATGATCCTAATTTGTAGTTAGTGCTATGCAAGGAAGCAAGTAATTTGCCTTCTACCACCTCAATAAAAACGTTGTTAATAATGTTTATAATATTTATATTTTTTTAAATCTTGTTTAAATATTGTCCATGCCTCCCGATAGCACAAGAAAGTTGAGCAACAGAGCGTCGCTTGTTAATTAAAGGGAACTCCAACCTCACATAATGTTGGCCTTAAAACTTTGCCTGTCCCTTGAAAATGAATATGCGGCAATTTTTTTGTTTGTTTGATTCAATAATTTCACAAAAAATGAGTTGAAATGCTGCAGATAGGGCATCCGGTGCGTGGGAGCAGAAATTTGTCAGCGGCTTGTATTTGACGTCATATCGTCAATTGCTGCTCAAAGCTTTATGTAAAGTCATTGCACAGTCATAACAAAGTTGCGTCAAATGCTTCTCCTAATCACAAAATGTTTCGTCAGAATTTTTTATTCATAGGTATATACACAAGCAACTTTTATAGCTTACATGCAAGTATTGAGCTGGTTATTTGTATTCTGTTTTAATAGAACGGTTTCACAGCCATAAAGGCCATTATCGCACAGTTTCCGCACTACATATAGAATTTGACTGTCGATTAATATTAATTTTTAAAAAATACAAAGGTTTATTTGTGTGGAAACAGTGCTGTAATGCTGTTTGCTTCGTTTTCTTGTCCTCCGAATTCAACCTTAACAACAGTTTATACTGATGTGAAACCAATCTATTGCCATGAATAACAATGAATAATAATAAAACATGGTTGTGTAATTTAGATTCATTATGGTTAGAAAATAATCCTACATAAAACCATTGTAAATTTGGCCTTTCGTGCATACAATTTAGCTGTAGTTTCCTTGATGTAAAGTATGAACTTATAGTTTCCTAATTATTTGTACATAATTTCCCTTTTTTAAGTCACATTTGGCACAAAAGTTTTCTGTGCGATGTAAAACAAACACCCTCATATTGATCACCAATATGATGTGGCATTTGTCTAAATCTGTCACAAAAAGACTAACAAAGTCTAACGTTAAGGGAAATGATGACTTGACCCATTGCATTTAGTCCATTTCTAATCATCTTTGTGGTGCTCTGCAAGTTGTGTCAAGAATGTAGAAGAATTAGTGGAAAATTGGAAGTCTATCCTTAAACAAAAACAAGCATTTCTGGAGAGGGAACAAATATTTTCATCAATGCTGCCACCAACAATTAACAGAAAGAGAAACAAGCAGAATGTGGAAGCTATCTGTAGAAGCTATCTGAATTTTGGTCACACAGGAGAGTTGGATGTTTACCATTCCCTTTTATTGAAACACTGCCCAAAGCGAGAGCATTTTTCATTTCCTGGAATGGTAGCCCACATTCAGTTAGCAGCATTAGATCACAACAACAATATTAACCGTGATAAAGCAGTCATTAAGTCAAGGACAAACAAAAGGCAAGACTGTTACAAATTGATTTTTGCTAAAACAAAGGAGCAATGGGTTGTAAAAGCAATGAAAGAAAAGAAAGAGTAACAGTACATTGATAAACTACTTGCCGAGGTTGTGAATGCATGCAAAACTGAGGACATTGAACTTGTACATCATGGCTAGAATCTTCCAAAGACCATTTCTAAATCATGTCCACCCAGAAAATAAGTAATTGTAAAGGAACATCAGTCTAGATTTGCATAAAATGTCAGTGGTGACGATAGGTTTTGCCATGCCAATAAAATATGATGTTGAATCAGTGAAGACAACTTTTGTAAATTCTTTCTTATATATTAACATAGCAAAACGAAAATAGTGGAAGCCTTCAAATTGAAATTCCTCTGCAGGGCTAGGTGGAGGAAATGTTTCTCTAATGTAACTGCACATGATGGCAAGACGACTCTTACTTCTCTACCCAAGATACCCCAGCACCATTTATCAACTGTCTATATTCAATATGGCGGTACAGTTTATCTTCGGGCCCATTATATGCTACCTCATATTGCTGCTTGTACTGGTACCAAGCACCTTGTAAAACCCACCTGTTAAGAAAAACCGGCTCAAAGCCAGGATGTTGTGTAATGCACAAAGGGCTCTCGGTGATCTCATTCTTTTCTACTGCCTCCACATTTTTGTCACAAATATTGGAAATCTCTTTGCAGCAAAAATATTCCTCGTTATTGTCCATTATTTGGGAGTTACCACATTGACACCTTAATATGTTAAAAGAAACGATCTTATAAGTAAATGTCTAAATTTCAATAAAGATTGTATCTTACAATAAAAACTTAAAATCTGAAGTATTTTGTGTGTGTGGACGTGGTCAACTTCAAAAACTGAAAACGATCTTTCGAGATCGAAACAATTGCCTAGGATAATATAACATTTTACTACGCACCATTCAAAATTGTAGCGCCGAGGTTCATCCTCAATATACACAAATTCCTGTTCTTCGTTGCCCTCAAACTGGTGAGCTTCTTCGTGTTCATCAGCCGGCCATTGGAGCTCAAACTGATATCGTCGAATATTGTTTGCTGGATTGTTTTCCATTTCACTATCGATTTGTGAATTAGGCCGAGGTTCTTTCAAAAAAGCCATTATAAGTGATTGCTTTGTTTTTGTGCAAGGCTGTGCGTTATTACTTCACTTTGTTGTAAACACAACTCCAAATCGGTTTGACGATATGACGTCACAATAATTTCTGCTGACGCTTTCTGTGCCCACGCTGCTAAACATCAAAACAGCTCAAATAGTGTACTTGAAGACGCGATTTTGTCAAAAATAAAATAGGCTATGTAAAAATTTCAAAATATAGTAACCTTTGTAAAAAAATGAAACTTTTAAGACAAACAATATGTGAGGGTGGAGTTCCCCTTTAAGGGAACCAGATAATCCATGTTTGCCATGAAGCCCATGGATTGTTTGCTCGTGATACATGAGAAACAGTAAATGAGGGAGTTAAGTCAGAAAGATATAAACCATTAAAAATTGTAGAAAACATGTTTAAGGTTGTCTTAAAAGTGTCAGAAAAGGGCAACGTGTTAGAAGAAGTTAATTGAAACATTGCTTGGTTTATTTTATGAGAAGAACTCTTGTAAACAAAAAGATAAAATTCTATGGTAAAAAATCTCGTTTTCGGTCCATACTTCTCGATACCCTCTTAAGCGTAAGGCAGTAGAACGCCGCATGTTGACGTTTTGGTAGGGGATTTCAGCCCCTTCACGCTATCCTACTTATAGATGCCGATGGCAAAGCGAGATCGCATGCGATATGCTTTGCTTGTGGTACGCAGGGAGAGTGCGATCCCAACCGAAGTCTGGGCACAAAGCCACTCACAACCTGATCGCACCCAGCTGCCACTGCTATATAAAGTATTTTGCTTGTACGTAAATACCTAAAATTAAAAGATAACCATTAACAGAAATGTTGGACATAATGGCGGATAAGAAAGCTATTTTTTCAAAATGGCGTCTGTTTTTTATTAGTAAAGGAGTTGTGGAGATTTGAAAATGAAAATTACACATAACAATATAGCATATTACCACACTGCCACACTCGATTTAATGTGGTAAACCTGCCAAACACTATAAATTACATATAACTAATAAAAGAAAACGAAATGTACAAACTTCCCCGATATGTGACGAAAACGTTGATGTGCAGGCAATGTTTCTATAACGATTGTACAAGTATGGTGAAAATGGTTGACAAACACGAGCAAATAATGCGTCACCTATTCCTCATATCCCAAGTGCCACACTCTTAAACTAAAGTCCAATGTTTCCTTTACTGATTCTTTGTTGAATAGTTGATTTACTCACAACAGAATACTTCCAAAACATTTAAACTTTCGACAAGTTTGCTTCGGTAGAATAATAAATAAGGTTGTCGCTTTTGAATGTGTTGCTATGTGACCATAAACATTTGCAAATTTTTCTCAAGCATCTGAAACATCGTAATTTTCGAATTTTAGGAAAGGCTACTGGTTTATTCGTGTATAAATCCATCTTGTTTTTCCTTCGTGAAATAGTGATGATTATAATAATAAAAATATTAATACAAAAGAGAAGTGTAACCTTTATTAAAACAAGGAACAGTTCCTAACAACATAACTTTTAGTGTCTCCTGACACTTGAAAATTCCATCGAAATACTGCTGCAAATTGTCCCCCCAAATGTGCAATAATCAGTACCACAACAATAATATTGGCTGACAAATGACGTTTCCAAAATTTATTCCACACGCGGCCAATGGGAATGTTGTAATAATACATTTGCATGAAGATGGACAAACAGTTAAAGATGAAATCAATTGAAACACCAATTGCAATTCTTTTTAGGAGCTCATACAACAATGGTAGAGTTGCAATGTCAAAATTCTGAAGCTGATAACAAATAAAAAAGGCTTGGCTTAAAACAAGGGTATTGTATTCGAAAAGTATATCTTGAATTTCTAGGTCAGCTTTTAACCGTCTTGCATGAGCAGTGTTCCATGGCAAAACTTGGAGTCTTTGAAAACAGCGTGAATTCATTTTTAAAGTTGAAACTAGTCGCTTCCACATGTTGAAGCGAATTTGTTGGGTTGCTTTTTTTAAGAAGTTCAAAACAGCTGAAAACAATGAAAGACCAATGAAAATCCAAATGCTTTTAAAGTTTGTTTGCATTGTTCTGTAAACAAATATAACGCCACCTCGAATCACATACACCAGGACAAAACTACGACCGGGTTGAATGACCTCGGAACTTCTTCTTAACGCCATGTGGAAACACAACAGTGCAGGTATAAATGTCATCAGTGGTGAAGAGGTAGCAATTAAAAATTTATATAAATTTCGACGAACGCTAAGAAACCCATGGATAATAACATACAAGTAAACATACGAAAGTAAAATACAAAAGATAAATTGTATAAGAACAAGAGCTGAGATATGAAAGTTGGAACAAGAAATAGAAGGTCTGCCAGCTCTAATGTTTTTTAAGATAACAAATGTTGAAGATAACAGCGATGTCCAATACATAAAATATGATATGTACATGTAGTAGCCATATAAACTGTAAACATTGAACTGAAATAGTATTAACTTAATTATAACGACGAACTCGCTTATAATGACAGCTATAAAAATTGTTGAAAAATACTTCGCTTTAAATTCTTTCCATCCAAATAATATTATCATTGTTAATGGAAACCATAAAGATACAATTAGCCAGAGCACGCCATCACCAAACAACTCTACGCGTTTCAAAAAAAATGGTTCTGTCATGTTGTGTCTCCACAACTCCATACAGCTGTAGACGGTATTTATTGACACGTAGACAAGCAATATTGCGAATCCAATAGGAAAGATGGAGACGATAATGATGCTTAAGTTTGTCCTTAAACATTTCCAAAATGTCTTCAGAACTTTACTATTGTTCCGACAACCATCAAAATTTGTTAAATGCGGACTTGAGCCACTGCGAAGAAAATTTTCGAGCACTGTTTCACCATAATTATCATCGTATTCTTTGTTGATAAAAGATATTTCTGCTTCATTCTCATTCTCAAAATTTGTGTCTTCGAGTAAAGTTTGCGAGTTAGATCCCACACTCGGTGTATCTGCAGCAAAAAGTGAACAAATTGACAAGGCTAGACCGATCATCTCCTCAAGCATTTTGCTATCTTTACCAGATGAAGCAACAAAAAATTATAATCAATGAATTGAACTTCCTCACTTTTGTATTTAGTTTTGTTTATGTAATTCATCAATGAATTAATTGGTCTCATTTGAGCAAGCGCCACGTCAAAAGCATCAAATAATTTATTAAACTTTAAATGATTAAATGATAAACAACGCAAACAATAAGTTTATGTCATAGTTAGCTATCCATATTTATAATGAATAAAACAGTATTGCTTTTAGCTACATAAAAGCGTTGAAAAAGAAATACAGCCCATAAACTTCTTAATAGTCTTTATGTCACGGATCAACTGTTATATTATGGCGACTGGCAAGCAATGTAGACCATCTTTTTGTTTTGTGTAAAATTCTGGGAATGGTATTTGATCTCGTCGATGACAAAAAAATTAGGACGGGAAAATATGGCTTCTCTTAAAAGATGATGCATGAAAATAATCGCATTCTTGGATTGCAAACAACCTCCAGGGAATTACCAAATAATGTGATTCGCCCACGCCGGATCGTGCCAACATTACCATATAAAATGTTTTTACTCGTCATCTGTATTTTCATAGACGCCACTATAGCTTAGTTGTCGAATTTGGGTGCCAATGTGAACACAACCTTTTGATGTTGCCAGATTCGAAGTGCCCTAAAACTTGTTTACAATCAAAAACATGAAATTATAAATAGACGAAGCTAGTGGAATACCTAGTGTGAACGTGCTGCCGACTTGTGCACGAAATAGAGTATCGTACTTCAGCATTTAGTCAGAATGCGCTATTCTTGACTTGAAACCGTTCTCTTGAGATTTACCAAACAATGTTGCTCGACCACGTTGGCTGGTGCCAACTATAACACTGATAAAATATTCTTTTGTATCATTCCGCCAACATGGCAGACATGAAAGTGAAGGATATAGTTTGGGGTTCCAGCTAGTGCTGGAACTTATTCCTTAACTCGAACATTTCGCGATTCTGTATTTCACTTCTTACTTGGGACAAGTTGAGGTAAAACATCTCTCCTCCACTTTCTCCAAAAATTCTTCAAAAATTGGCTGGAAAAACTCAAGTCTGTGGCGTAATTTCATCGTTTGTCTAGTTGCTTTTCCAAGCAAAATATCGTTTGGACATGTATCTGTTAGAATTCGACCAATAGGTCTCTGATTGACCAACTTTACAATTTTTAAAAAAAAAGGAATACAGTTCAAATGATGTCAGTATTTTTTCACCAATGGGCTTTTTAATGGAAGTTTTCACAATTTTGACCATGGATTCGTGTATTTAGAGTGTATTCAGTAAAATTTCCAATAGCTCACCTGGCATTAAAATTTTCTCAATAAATATAACAATTTTTAGTACCCAATGAAGAGACGTAGCAAAAACTCAAATTTAGTCCTTCTATATAAATGTATCTGTGTTCACTCACTATTTAAAACAACAAAAATCTAAAGTAATGAATAATGAATACTCGTTATGATCTGAAATTTGCATAGCCAACCAAATTTGCTGGCTGGCTACGTCATTGACTGACCTAGCGGATAGAAGCGTAGCAAAAATGATAAGCGAATACCTATTATTAGTTCCGAAGTGTTAACTTCATCTTAAAATGTCAAATAATTCTCGTTATATGGGTAAAACTTTTGCTAGCTACCAAAAGTTTACTTCTACATCAATTTGCTAACAGCCTCCGGCTGAGAATAATTAAACCACAGATTTCTGTTTCACACAGAAAAAATATTCTGTATTCTGTCTCGTAAATTGTAAGAGTTTTCCCACGATCCAGTAAATATCCAAAAGAAGTTTACCGGTATAGCGATGTCAGCTCCACCAAGTCTGAGTATTAACCCAATAGCTTACCCCTGAGCAAGACAGCCGTTACAGCTCACACATGCATTACCGAGGTGTGAGTTGTCCTCTGTTCTGTCTGCACGTCAGCAGCAAAGCAATAGTTAAACTTCTCAGTTATAAAATCTTAACTAGTCTTATCCTTATGAAAATAGTTAATGGCTCATCCAGAACCAAAATCGGATATACCTAAAATTTGGTCAATATTATAGCCAATAAATTTAAGCTTGAATCAATAGAAACATGCATAATTAAACAAGAAATGTACAAAATAATCTGCAACTTGAGCTTAAATTTCTAAAAATTGAAATTTCATTTATGGAATTTCTTTTCTTGATAGAATAATAAAATATAGTACAAGTCCTTACGTAAACAAATGACACAAGGAAATAAAGACTTTGTCTTTCTTTATTTCAAATAAGTTTGGTAGTTAACGCTGATGGCAAGGCCATCGTAAGGTAATTGTCACAAATCATTTTTTAAAATATTCTAAAAAATTTTGCTTCGTAAATTTATTGAACAGTTTATTGAAACTAATTTACCATAACAGTACCTGCAGGTAAAAGAATGAAAATTTTCATAATACATGTTCTAAACATACTATCTAAGATTAAACTCAATCAGTCAACGGAGGTGTTGCTTTAATTGTTTTCAATTCTCTTATCATAAGGAAGCCAGTGCGATTATTCAATAAAAGAATATGATATTCCCACAATATGATGTCTTGTAACGTATAAGTTATAAGTTGAGGTAAATTTCATTTTGCACTTATAAGCATTATTTCTTCACACGTAACAGACACAAAAAATATAATTTTTCAAAGTACGTACAATTGAAACACCAGAGTTGCTTGTCCGATTCATCTTCAGTTTGTTTTCTCTATAATAGGCGAATGTTGACTTAGCTCCATCTCTTGAAATACAAAAATATCACCATTAATTCCATGGAAGTAAATCAACATCTTAGTGATACTTGGAATGCTACTTTTTTCTAACATTTAGTCATCCACGATGTTGTATTTACTTTCAATAATCTCTTTAAGTTAGGGCTGCTTATGATAGTATGTTATCAAAAATGAAACATAAGTTAAAACCTATTAACTTACATTAAGTTTAGATTGAGACACAAATGAAGCCGAAAAAATAGAGAAATGTTTTTTTTTTCTTGTGCAGACATTAATAAATGTTGTGTGATTTTTATAAGTACACGATCAAAAGTTAAACCCAGTGTACTCGAACATAACAACACTATAAAAGGAATATGTTTGCTTGATCTGAAGTTCAATCTCATGTTGGTTAAATTACATGCATTAGAATAACAAAAGTTAGTTTTATGATAAATGTAAGCATCTGGATAGTTCTGCTTTAGAACACATGAAAAGTGTAATGCTTCAACTTTCTAAAATATTTAGTCGCCAGCGATTTTTTAATTTGTACTTGGTGCACAAAAATGTCCAAAAACAAAAACAAATTTCTTGTTATTCTGAATTAAGTAACTAACACCGTAGTATTTGCAATTTGTCTTGCCACCATTAAACCCCCAAAAAAAGACAACAAGTGGCTTAGGCGAGTTGATAATACGGGCTCCTGTTGGCATAAATACACGAAAAATTAATTGATCTAGAATCCTTAGCAAATTACTTGCAACCAATCGTAATTATGACAGGAAAAACTCTTATTTGACATATCCTCACTATGAAGTTTATATTCGTCTCCGTTCTCAGTGACTTATAAATATTCTATTTACACGCAGTCCCACACACAACTTGTCACGTAGTTCACATATGGTTATGTGTGATGCCTGAGACGTACTCAAGGCTGCTACTTTTATTGCCAAATTCATGTTCGATTGAAATGGCCTATGACGCTTATGAATACCTTTTACTTGCTTTAATTAGGTGCTCATTTACTGTAAAGACAATCCATTTCTAAAGAAAGGAAAAATCTTAATTATCTGAAATTAGCATAATGGGACCAAGAGTGCGTGCTCGTTAATGACACAATCACAGCACTACATGTAGATGAGATTCATGACTTTCACACTCACATTAACAAACAGAACAGCCGCACACAGTTTACCAAAGATGTCGACGTAAATGAAACTTATATACGAACCCATTAATCTCAAGTATTCTTAAAACGCTATTCGAACCCTTTAATGTCAAGTATTCTTTCTCATAGTAACTCCTCAAACCACCCTGCTTCGCCAGACGATTTTAAAATCATCTCATCCTGCTCCGACACATTCGACCTCATGATGCACGAAAGCCTCCTCAACTCCAAACTAAAACCTTCACTTAACACCTAAGGCAGCTCCATCCCTCTTAAGCTTTTCTAGTCTTAACACCTCACCCTAACAATACATCACACTTACATCACACTTACATCACACTTACATCACACATTACATCACATCACACCTACACATTCACAGTAACATGATACCTTAAACTATGTAAATAGCTCTTTATATATTTATATTCTTGTTAACTTCCTAATTAGTCTGAAGATGTCTTGAGTAAAGACGAAACGTCACTCTTAATAAATTTCATATAACCAAATTGTTTATGACTATTTTTAAAATTATTTGTTGGGCTCTAATATTTATATTGAGAATCCGTTTCCCGCCTGGCACCTCATTGGCTACAATATTGATAATTGGAACTTATCCTTTTCTCGATTGTTTGGAAAAACATGACGATCAAAAACTACAAATCACAGTTTATCGCAAACCAACACACTCTGAACTACTAGACCAAAGCCACAGAACCAGAACATTAACAAGACGTGCACAAATCATATGTGATTCACCGGACGCTCTACACAACAAAAACAACTATCTAAAACGTGTTTTTGACAAAAACAAATATGACTCTGACTTCATTACATTACACAAAGCCACAGAACCAGAACATTAACAAGACGTGCACAAATAATATGTGATTCACCGGACGCTCTACACAACAAAAACAACTATCTAAAACGTGTTTTTGACAAAAACAAATATGACTCTGACTTCATTAAACGCTGTACTAGTAGTAAAGATAATATTTTGTTTTGTTGTTGTATCGATGTTTTAATATTCCTGCTGTTATTCCAATGTATATCCTAGATTTACGCGGGTTCCTATTTATGATTTCAAATTTATAGCTACACTAGCGACGATGTTATAAATGTTGCTTAGGCAGTAAGTCTTTGATTG